CTCTTTATTCAGAGTTTATACTATGGTAATTTTCTGCATTAAACTAAAAGTCTGCTTGGGATTCTTTTAAGAGTTCAACTTCCAACCAAGAATATTTGGTTACTCCAGCCACGGTTCAGGAGTCTTCCCGAGTAGCAATTTTGATTCCTTGTAGCTGACCTTTACTTGATAATGTTATCCTACACCTTGAAATGGGCTTGCTTTAGAGAAAACTTTAGTTAATGTTTTCCTGGTTACACTTCTTGGCCATATTTTCTTTCCTTACACTAGCACACTACCATTCTTATGAAAAAGGAAATTCAACCTTGACTCAAACCCAAAACGTAAGGAGTTTCCTAGGAACAGCAAAATGGTTGGACACCTGCCAAAGTGGCACTACTTGGCAGCAGAAGCACTTGTCATGGACAAACGGGGCTCTTAAAATGCCTGGAAAAAAGCTGTCTTGGCCCAGGCCTCCAGTGGACTGAATGCCCATCGTTTTCCGAGCACTGTAATTTTACTGTTATAACCCATTATAATATTACTGTTATAATAATAACAATGAATTTCTCATTAATGTCAGACTGAATTGGATGAGGTGGCAGTCTTTGGTTGTCAGTACCATGAGTGTCACTCAAATGAGGGCTCATGGCTTCAGGCACCATGCAAACACAGCAAGAGACCTTTCCTGCTCCCTGCAAGCACATGCCCCCAGGACACTGCACTGGAAAACTGAGAGCACTCCCAAATGGACCTGAGCAATTTCTTTCACTACATTTCATTTGGTTGCTTCATAGTTGCCTCTTTTCCCTCTCAAAGATAACAGCACATTCAAAATATTTCAGTGAAGAATATGAAAGTTGCATGCCTGGGTCACTCGAACATAGCTGGGAAACGTACCTCACTGCTTACTGAGGAAGCAATGGAGTGCTTCACTTTGGGTGAACTAGAAAACTGCAGCATGGAAATACAACGAGGTTAAGCATAAAGGAGCTCTGTTTGCAAAGCAGGATAATGGCATTCAAAAATCATGAATCCTTAAATTACTTTCCTTGTCCCACTTACCTCCTTGCAGAGGGATGCTGTTCTTGGTAGCTAAAAAGCACGCATCTTTCCCATGCCTGAGAGCTCCATGTGGTTGCTAGGTGGCAATGCAGTTTTTAGATCATTATGTTACTATCCCAGAACGCTGCAAATCTGTGCACAAGAGCTGCTCATGAACTGGTGGTCCATGGAGTTTCAAAGAGTGCCTGTCTAATGGAAATCTCCTCCCTTGATCTTCCTCCACCTCATGCTTCTGAATTCTTAGATTTTAAGTGTGTAGTCTATGAAACGGCTTCTGGTATTATTTGACTTACACAACCAGTTGCCCTACGTTGTATTGACGAGATAGAGAATTAATCACCAGAGACGGCAGGTGTTATGAGCCTCTCTTCTTCCCCTGGTACCTGCAGGCACCATCTAACACCCTGCAGGAGTATTTCATACCAAGATCCAGTGAATGATAGCATCTAACAGATGCTTTGTTCTCTGACAACCTTAGCTGAAGCAGATCAGAAGCATCTGCTATATGTATGTGAACAGCAGATCAGAAAGTAGAAAACTCAAAGAATCCCACCCAGCTCATATGCCTGATAGTTCCAAATCAAGAACAAAGTGGATCTTCTGAAAACATTTTGTAGGACACATACTAGCACTTGTATCAGCGTTATCCTGTAAAAACCCAAGATAAACCCCCAAATAATGAAAAAGTGGAACTGTGTGCCACAGCTGGCCCACAACAACACATCATTGAAATTCAACGCCAACGATGAGTCTTCAGTACAATGAAGACTAACACAAATGGGGACAATCTTGCTCAAACAGTCAGTGGGCATGTGGGTTTTCAGGCCAAAGGTCCCATATATCCTACTAGAACTCTGGTAGCTCACCATGTTCAACTCAAAGTTACAAATGCTTGATGACTGTCAATCTGGCTTTGGCTTTTAAAAGCAGGCAGAGGATTGCAACTGCATTTAAGGACTGAAATCTTGTCCTTCAGAACAAAGCAGAGATGTCTGGTAAAATCCAAGATGCTGTAAGAAATAATTAGGTGGCAGTAGTACAATCAGATCAGCTCTGTGGCTGACTTGAAGTTTGGAAAATGGGAGAAAGTTTCGCATCAGTGGTCTGACTTCCCAAATAAACTACATCAGCACCTCACATCACATGAAATGTACCTACAGTATTAAGTTTCACATAGTTCCCTTAAACAGAAAACATTATTTTCAGGAGTGATGATAAAACTGGGAATACACATAGGGAAAATAAGACCATTGCTGTGTAAAAGACAACAGCCCTACCTTTATTTGTCACAGTACATTTCAAGTACATGCAAAAGGTATTTACATTTCTCTAAGGCAAACAGAAATCGGGTCCTTATTCCTGAGTTGCTTAGCACCAGTAGAAATAGCAAATAAAACCGTAGGAAACATTGTCTCTCCCTTTGAAGCAGCAGCTGCCTCCCATGCTAAATATTTCTGCTTTCACCTCTCATTTCTTTTAATGAGATATTTATACTGATAATTACTATTGCTATTTGGAGCTGTTTCTGCAGATTTCAACCTCTTCACGGAAACATCTTGCCAAGATGTGACAAACTTTCCACGTTTATTATTCTACCTTACGGACTGCTTGCTGATGAGACAGCACAGCAGTACTTCTGTCTTGGCTGGCACATGCACCAAGGTCTTCTCTTCAGTTATTTTTAGAGTTCTGTACTCCTCCAGTATCTAGAAAAACTAACATTATCTTCTTATGTCTTTCTCATGAGGGCTAGCTGCTTCTCCAGTGCTAAGAGAGGGAAAAGCTCACCTCAGCCAAAGGAGGGGTTTAGGGCTTGACTTCACTAAAGCTAGAGGCAAGGGAAGTGAAAATGCCCACCGAAGTGTTGGCATTTATGAAGAAAATGCAAAGCAGTTTTTCAAAGAAAAATAATGCTCCCTCGAAGTCTCACTAACATTTGAGTCATCTGCATTATCTCTTCAGATATTTGCTAGAATTTACGATGTTGAAGTTTAAAATACAGAAGGAGCATTTTTGAGGAAGTTTTTGACAATTTTCATTTCCCATTAACTGGCTCTATCAAGCCTACTAACGCCAATAAGCACTTTTCTCCCATGACTTATAGGACTACCACAGAGCTTGATCCTAAGAGAAAACATCTGTTCTGTAAAAAACTCTAGTTCCTATTCAACATAAAAGAGTAGTCCAAGCAGGAAGTCAATACTGCAAAATGGGGTACAACTCTTAAGTGTGCCTTCCTCAGTGACATGTAGTGTGGAAAAATGTTTTGTTTCAAATTACATTCTCTGCTTTTTTTTTTTTATGCATTCCTGAAACTCTATTTTTCAATGACTTCTCAAATACATCAATAATTCAAGGTTTCTGTCACCATTTAGTCTAAGTGCCCACCTCAGTTAATCAATGCCCATCACAATTTGCAAACAAATGCTAATATTTACCGGTGTTTAACTTAACATTCATTGAAAAAGAACTGTGCCTTGATAAAACTTCTGGCTTAAGTTGGTTATTAAAGCAAAAAAAAAACCCAAAAAACCCAAGTAATTTCTTACTTCTTTTCCAATTATTACTTGGATGTATTCCTTCACAACTCTTTCACTTAGTAGCAACACACAATGGTATATTGCATTGGGAATAATCCACATCGAACTAGTCAATTGTAAAGACATTACCTTTAGCAAGGACAAGCAATCTTACATGGAAATTCTACACCAAAGGCTTGCCGCTTTATTTTCCTACCTCTGAGAGATTATTAAGAACTAAGCACCCAGGAAAATACAGTAAATGGACAGAAAGAGGAACTCATGAAGTGTCTAACCAATCTATCCCACCAGGAAGCTGACTCCTTTTGATGAGGCACCTCTCAACAGACGGTCTGACGGTTTTTCCAAGTAAGATGAGTTCAGTAAGGCTAAAGCCAGGAATGGCTGTTATTCTGCACCTGGCAACACCTCTGTACAGTGTGAACACAACCACTTGCTGCAGGTATTCCCAATGAACAGCTGCAGAGTAGCATTTTTATCCTCATTTTGTTTTCTGTGACGTGACCCGCATGCAGCTTTACTTCTAAAATCGGCACTGCTGATTCCATAACCAGTACATCCTCTGAGAAGAGGTACTTTCTCAGTGATCGTTTCAATACTAAGATGCTAGAGAGTTTCCAAATCTTTAGGAAGTCTTAAAATTCTTTTCTCCCTGGAAATCCTTGTTCCCTCATCTATTATATAAAGCAGCTGCACTGTATTTAGAGGAAAATATTGTGCCCCTTGACAGTGACTGTTTATCCAGTGGCTGTTAACCAAGTGTTTGTGAAGTCATGTCCTATTATGCTGGTTACTTTGAAAAACATCTAGGACATTGACACTTCTCTGCTTCTTGACCAGATCTGTCAGAACTGGCTGGAGCCCAGGTTCTCCTCCACTCACATAGGACAGGGGACACAGGCATTCATTTGGGCTGTTTCCACTACCTGCTGCACTAGCTGAGGTAGCAGAAGCTGACTAGCCTCCCCAGGCATCTTACCAAGGTGAAATATTCCAGAGAAAGTCATATGAATAGTTCTTGCGCTCAAGATAGTTCAGTGGCCTTGGAGAACAGTCACAGCACACCTCTGACATACTCTGTGTCTCAGCTTGCTTGGGGTGGTGACTTGTACTCTTCTGATCTCTGAGTGGGAGAATTAGTCCTACCTGGTCTTTTGAGGATGGCACTGGGTTATCACAGTCTGAATCCTTTCATGCAGAAAGAAGTTGTAGGCAGGAATGTTTCTGGATAGTTTTGAAATGCTACTCCCAAAGGCACCAAGTTCCACATGCAGAGTAAGACATTGCTCTTTCTTACAGTGCAGATGACACAGATAATATCCAGTTTATTTATAAAAGTTTTATACACCTGAAATCTCACAAACATTTACAACTTTCTTGTTTTCTTCTGAGTTCTGAAAAGACCAAGTCATAGAATTACACTGCTGTCTCCTTTGACTCCAAAGTCTGTGGTGGCTTGAAGTTCAGTATCTCTTTATATGTAATGCCTGGAAAACAACAGAATAAACATAAGAGTTGGTGGTCTAATCAGAAGAGGAGCTGCACAGACACGAGCAAGGTGCAACCCCCAGCATGGTTAGGTTCTGGTCTAGGTCAGGAAGAGAGAGACCTCTTCAGGCAAAAAGGAGAGAAAGAGTACAAAAAGTAAGGGAATCAAGGATCATCTTTTCAACATTTCAGATTTGAAGAAGTAGTCCAATATTGAAATGTTATGGGTGCTTTCAAAGGCATCCAAGCATTAACTTTACAGTATAGTGGGCAAGATCCTCAGAAAGAGCTACTCAGCAAATCAGCTTTAAAAGTCAAGTCCTCACTTAAAAGCCAAAATACAAACCTCTGACATTAGATGAAAACTAGATTCAGAGTTAAGTGTCTGCTGAGATAGATGTGTTTTCTCTCTTCGAGAGAATCTAACTTCATATTAATGCTAACAACTGTTTCATTATACAGCAACAGTCCTATACAGCCAGCAGCGAGGAACCTGTTCAGCTGTCTCTCCACTGGAAGGAACATGTTACAGAAATGGTTTTGTTCTACATTGCAGAGGACAGGAGGACAGACACAGGAAGGAGAAGGAGAGCCTCTGTTAGGAGGCAGAGAATAAACCTTTGGGGATCTTTCCTTGGTGAGAACAACACTGGCTTATCAATAGTGTTTCTCTGTCTTGATGATGTCTATTTACTCTGTTCCACCAAAAGCAGAAAAGGTTATTTGTAAAGGGGAATACTCGTATTTCTGGATGGACTTTCCATCTGGTTATTTTTTAAAACATCACAAATCTAAACTCACGCTTCCACTCATCTAGTGGAAGATCCACGTTATCAAACGTGTCGTCATATTTCTCAGCTTCAATTTCTTCCTCAGGATCGTGAACTGGCTCAAAGTAAGGATGCATCAAAGCCTCAGCTGCTGTGATTCGCTTCTCTGCATCCAGCACCAGCATCTTCTCCAAAAGGTTTACAGCTATTGCAGAGAAAAGAAACAGTGTGTTCAAATCACACCACTGACTCCCGCTTGTGCATAGTTAACATTGCCCTGGAGATATTTCAAATAAATACACAGTTACAAAGCAGAATCACTGGGTATTCATTCTACAGCTTTGGGGCCCACCTGCATGGCCAAACAGTGTTGTGAGCAAGCTGGGATGTGTACAAAGCCTGACTCAAAGCAAAAGTGTTCCCTTGCTTCTGTACACAACACAGCCACATCACCACAGCTAATACCTTCTCAGCTTCTGGCTCTAGGACCACTGTGGTTGAGGCTTTCCCATGTGTCTTTCATCACTGCTACGGTACTGTGGTTCTAAGGTACATCGCAACCTAACAGCAGCAGAATGAGCAGTTGGGTGTGGAGAATGAGAATTGGCCTGTATGTGACCAAATCCAAGGCCAACTACACTCTGAAGTACACTAAGACAAGTCAGTTGTCCACATACAGAATCTCAGTGCTGACCTTATCTGCTGTGTGGTTTTGACCTCAGCCAAAACAATCCATGAAAATCTTCCATGTTCCTCTCCAGTGGATTTTGGATCAGGTCCACTGCTGGACTGTCAAAATGAGCTAGTGTAAACAGATATGATGAATGATTTGTTTATTCTCTGCTTTTCTATCTTGAAAGAATGTTCCTGGGTTGGGTGAAGCAGCTGAAAGGAAGAAGAGCAGCAGCATGGGACAGGATACTGCAGCTCCTGCTTGCCACATTGTGGATTCTCTCCAACCTTCTCTCCCAGACCACACGAGCTGTTGTTCTCTTCATAAGCAGAGCCAGACAACCACAGAGATGACAGGAAAAAACATCCTAAAATCTAAATGGAAATGTGTAGTTTGCTGTAGCTGAGAAGGTCAGTGAGCTAACCATGCAGTCAGGGTAAGAGCTGCTTATTAATCATGTTTATTTCTACTGTATCTGAACATATAATTTTAATTTCATAAATTGAGAAGATTAAATTATCCTAATTTATATTCTAATAGAACTGGCTTTGTGAGTGTTCAGGTAATTGGGGAACAGATACAGTTTGGGCAGAGCCATCTCAGACCTCTGGCTGCCTCGGGTCATATCACAGTTATGCACACTTGGTATGCTCTTCTGGCTGTTTATATCTATCAAATCCAAGCCAGTGCTTCTCAGGAATGCACAGATGTTTCTCAGGATGTATTAATTCCATGACTAAAATGTCAGCTTCCTATTTGCTTGCATTTCAACTGCAGATCAGATAGGTCTTTCAAAATTATATTTCAAATACAATGCAGAGAAAAATTCGTTATTTAATCTCCCAGGGCTCTTGTGAAAGCTGCTGCAGTAAAATCATTAAGCAGATGCTGGATTGAAGCCTAAAACACAAAATATTTCTTTTTTCACACTTCTAAGAAACATCTGAGTCCTGGCAGGGTCCAAACTTCACAAAGTTATGAAATATGGAGAGCAAAAGCACAAGAACCATCACATAACCTATCATGTCTGATACTGCTGCCGCTTCCAACACAAACACAAGTCGTACATAGCCACGCAAACTGTCTTACCCAAGGGATTCGCATACTTCAAGATGGATGAAAAATCTTTCTTCTGGACTTTTGGGAGGCTTTTGATATAGTTTTTTGCCTGAAAGAAACATGGGTGTTTAATTAGACCTTTGCTGACTTTGTAATGTAACATTAACTATATGCTTAATAGGTAATGCAACAGTGCTTTGATAGCACAGTGTACAAATTAATTTGGGGGGGGTCATAAACCCTGATTATATTCACCTTCTTATTGAAAGGAACTTTTTTTTTAATCAAGCCTTAAAATTATGATTAAGAAATGATAATGTAAAGCTTTAATTATTAGTGCTCCATATTTAATATATTAGCTAGAATAAATATGTATGCACCATTTGAAAGAATGTCATAGTGAGTTTACAGGAACCTCTTACACAGTAGTTCATTAGTATTTAAATTGTATACTTACTCTAATGAATAATTTTAAATTCTTTATAGTAGAGGCTTAAAGATTCTAGAAGGACATCCACATAAGAATAGAAAAGACAAAGTCAGAGACACCTGCAAACAACTGAGTTTTCTGAGTAGGTTCATATTTTCGGTGCGTTTCCGATAAAAGCAGTAACTTGTCAGCTCACCTGCTTGTATTGTATGCACTGGAAACTCAGAAGTATTTAGATACACAGATTTTTCAAGTGTTCTGATCATTTTCTGTCCCCCCCTTAATCTCCAGTAGCTATGTGCTTCAAGGCAGTAGGGTGCCATCAGGGGTCATTTCAGTAGTCAATATATATTATCTCACCCAGTCTAAGTACTGGCCATGGATTAAGTAAAATTAAGATGTGTAAAACCAACTGACAAAGCCAAATACTCACGTCTTGACTGTGCAGCTTTTGAACAAAATCTTGAGTTGGTGTACCCGTTATTTTCATTATTTCTGTGAGCTGGTCCAGATCTGATTACCAGAAATAAGGAACAAAAACTTTCATCATAAGAAAACTAATCACCCTGCAAAAATTGTGTGTTTCTTCACTACTGCAGAATAAAGAAAAAATCACAATGCAGTGACTGGAAAACAATTAGAAAAAGTAAAAAATTTTGCTGTCTTCTATCAACACTGTCCTCTAATAATTATCACAACTACTACTGCCAATGAAGTATCACTTGAGGTTGAATTATGACTTAATCTTAACTATTTTCTTAATCCTCGGCAGCCAAATGACAGGGCAAGATGTTTTTTGTAAATCTGAAACATTTTACTAGATGTTACTTGCATAACGTTTTTTGGTAAAAGTCTTAAGAAGCAGGAAATGGACTAGCATGTGCACACAGTTCCACATACTACAGCAGAATCTTCTGTGCGTGTTCTGGAATTATTGAATCTATTACTAAAAAATCAAAACGTACCTTTTGTATCATCACAGAAGCTTTTACCTGATTATTTGAGATGTGATTCAAAGATCAGCTCACTTTGCCTATTGGAAAAATTCAGTAATTTTTAATGGCAGATGTGTGAGAGTGGCACAGATATTAAACAAGCAATCAATGAGAAAGGTGCAAGCCATTTTACTATTCAGTTTATGCTCATCAGTTTTTGAACAGACCTACTGTACCACATCAGAACTTCTCATCATTTTCTTACATTAGTGTCATAAATTCACTGAAGGATACGATCATTTCCTTTGAACAGAGGCCTCCCTGTTATCATCTCAGCCATTATACAGCCCACAGACCAGATGTCAACTGGAAAAAAAAGACCAATAGTCACATTAAATTGCTGAATACCCATCCATTTAAATGTACATAAAGTTTAATTTAAAACAAAGTGTAAAATTTACTTTTATAGCCCATTAAAAATAAATTAATGCCTTGCTGATTAGGATGAATGGTATTAAGTGAAGCTACCAACCTTTCTAACGAGCACACCGGAGATAATCTGACAATATGCCCTATCAGTTTCTCAGTAACAGGCAGATGGATGCGGGAAGTAAATTTTCAATGCTTTCAAAAACTTCCATGGTTATCCTACCACTACTTGAATTCCTCCCTTCTGCCATTTTCCCCTGTCTTTTTGAGTTAGAATCAGCGCATCTTTGCAGGAAGATGACAGTCAGCGCAGAACACAAGAACAGAGACCAGACTATCACATCTGTGCACATTTCTATCACCACCTTGGCACTTTTGGTTACTCTCAGAAAATGTACAAAATGCCTCCAAACCCACAATCACCAAACAATTACCTGCAATTTATCTACAAGGAAGTTTTGCATGATTAGATTGTCATTTCCACCCCCAATTTCTCACTCATTTCAGAAACAAAATCTTGCTTTTACATATTGCCTGACTCGGTGAATGCTTTAGCTCTGGTACGACTTTTCTGAAGACATGCTGACCTGTTTGCGTATAATGCATCCAGTTGAGTATGACCTCTGGGGCTCTGTACCACCTTGTAACCACATAACCAGTCATCTCACTGTCTGTGTGCCTCGCCAATCCAAAATCCAGAATCTGTAGTGGAAGCACAAAGAACAGCCTTATCAGACAGCTAGCAATCTATTTCATACAGACTGTCCAAGTGAGTAAAAGAAAAGAATCAGAGCAATCTGTAAATACTGGTTTATTTTTGCATCATTTTCTCACTGAAGTGTCTTGTCCTCATTTTTAAAAACAAGACAGAAGTAGCAAGTAGCTTTTCAATTTTTTTCCTAGTTAGATACTCCTATAGCAGCACTAAAAGCTGTAAAACCAGTAAAGAAAACAGTAAGTTCTTCAATTAGCATTTAAAAAGATAATGGACACATTCAATGGAAAAATTTCCCTGGCCGTGGAATCACCATCCTACCATGTCAAGGCTAAAAGAACAGCACTCATCTTAGATGGTATTCATTGCTTTCCTATCTCAGGTGGTGCAATCATTCAAGAGTGTGTCCAACAACATTCTGAAGTAAGCAGGTATCATTATTTCTATTTTATGAGTAACGCATACAAGGGATAGCTTCCTGTAGGTCACACTGAAAATCTGCAACAGCATAGGGAATTACCATTATTTAGTCCCACTGATCTTCTCTAACCTACTGCATCAACTACAGAACAACCCTCTGTAAGGAATGCAAGGTTAGTGCAATTCTTTTAAAGGATTATGCACGATTCAGCTTTTTTCTAAGATTCTCAGATACTTATCTCTAGATACAGCAATGCATGTACATACAGCACAGCAGCAAGATGAACAATGAACGTTATGGCCTTTTGTCAGCTTCTATAAAATTGGCGTAATAATGCCCACCTGCTGTATGGACCATCAAAAGATTGTGCCAAAAGATGTGGCCAACAGCAAGAAAATTCCACTCCTGGAGTGACAGACAGTTTGTATTTATCAGAAAGTTCATGCTTCTAACAAGAAGCAGGGCGCTTGGGTAAGTACAGTCTATTCAAGACAAATCGTCATCTTCCACAGACAGTCGAGTATGTGGCTTTGCATGAACAGCCACAAGTTTCCATGTGTATCAGGCTTCATACATATGTATTGAGAAGGCAAGAGTTTTTACTAGGAGCACCTGTGCATTACTAAACCAAGAGTGATGGTTTTGTAATATTCTCTGTAATTAGACGTTTGAAAATATTTCAGGATAGTTTCATCATTCCCTAGCACTAACAGAAAGGAAAATTGTATTTGCATTCACAGATCAAGTGTATAAAATGTTATTGCTTATCTTTATTGCCATACTTGAGACATCATTTCTGTATTTTCCCCATAACTGCTGATTACCTACCAATTTAAAACCAGGAATAAGACACAAAGGGAGAGATTTTTATTCTTACTAATAAAATACACTTGATTATGGCTGATTCTTTGGGTACTGAAGATTTATTGACTCAAAATATTTGCAATAGCAAAATACACTTTTATATACAGCTTTCAGATTTATTCTACATATACAGCACACATCATGTTTACCCAGTCTGAAAGAAAAAAAGGAGGTTTTACATAACAGGTCAAAAGCCACACAAAGTACCATCTATTCTGTCACAACTTTTTAGGCATTTTCCATACTAAGGCTTGTGATACTTGGAGATGGAAACAGCTAAAATACAATTTGGGTTTGTCTTTTTGTAAAAGCAGAAAATGTCACTGAGATTTTTTGTTCACTATGTATTAACTTCAGAACTTCTTTTCATTTACACAGTCATAAGGCTCAGGAACAAGCATCCCTGCTAGTACTTAATGTGGTACCACTTCAAAAACAATCTTCACATGGAACTATTATTCTCACACTCAAATCTTGAACTTTTCAGCTGGAATTCCCAAAGCTATTTTCAGAGCAAGGTTGAAAATCCTCTTCATAACACAGGAATTACGAAAAAGAGAACAAATTCCCTTAGTTCCTTAAGGATAAGATCCCCTTCTACTCAGCGAACTTAATTCCCCGAACTTACTTCAGTAACTGTAACAAAAATAACTTCTAACTTTGAGGCTACAGGAAGGGCAGCAATTTCTCCTCATGCACCCTTCACTGTCATTTTCCTGAGAGCATTAGATGAGGGAGCCAGAAAGCGTGTTGTGAAAAACAGAATTGATTGCTTATTAATTAATTACCAACTCAAGGAACTGTTCCAACTTGCCTACAGTCTCATCACTGCTGGAGCTGATGCAAGGGAAGCTGCTGAGTGCAGAGACATGGGGAAAAGGCTTGCACTATCCCTCGCAGCATGGTAATGTGGTCCTGTGCCTGCATTAAGCTGACTTTGAAAGCATGCTCACATCCTGTCTTTTGCACCTGAATGCATGCACGTGGGGGAAATCAGTCCAACACCTTTGGTGTAAGACAGATCCCAGTTAAAACCTTTGGGCTGGTTCTTTTGCATATGATATCAGAGCTCGCTCTACAACCAAAGGCATGATAATCTCACTCTGAGAGTCAAAAGAAACAAAAACTAAAGCTCAATGCTACATTTTCTCCTTGTCATTTCACAAAATTGTGTGCTGATACAGAATTATTTGTCCTAGTTTATCTAAAAGCTCAAAAATGTCCAAGGTAACAGAAAATAACTTGTGTTAAATAAGGAGACAGCGATCATATTATGGAAGAATGTCTCAGACCTGGACTGCATCTGAAAATGTAACTGCACAGCTGGGGGGGATGGGAAAGAGAAACATGTACAACTGTTTTTTCTAGATTCTTTTTTTTCCCCTACCAACCTGGGACCCACTCACCATTTTGTCACCTGCAAGCCAGGAAAAGGCAATGGCTTTCTATGCTGGATAAGGAAATTCTGAACTAACAGGATCCTGAACATTCAGGTCAGTCTCCAAAGAGCAAAAATTTGTATTATACATAATATATACATTTTATATATATATATGTATGTATGTATACATACACACACATAACACATTCATAATTGAACTACTCCCATAAAGTTTTATGCCTCTTAAGGAGGAACCCTTGGCCATATATCTAAATGTATTTACATATCAGGAAACAAAAGCCCCCATTCAAATTTACTCTTGTTTTGTGAGGATGTATAGGTCAGTCATTCAAGCACATAATAGAAGATGCAGCTTGATTTTGCAATTCCCTGAAGAACCCTGACTTACCTTTCAGATTGCTAGAGCTAAGAGAAGGCAGGTGAGAAAAATCAATTATAAAGATGAATAAAAAATGAAAATACAAGAATATAATTAACTGGGGACTGGAAGCAGTCTGGGGCTACTATGTGTGCACTCGAGAATATATTCCCAAAATAAACAGCACTGAGCACTACATAATTCTGCTTCATAATAAATAATTGACTTTTTTAATAACAAAGTCATTTCACACAGCCAAATAGATGCACTTTTGCTAGCTCAGGGTACACTGTACAACGATTTCTGAAGTACAGATATTATCCACTCTAACAGGCTTTGGAAGATTTCCAGTACATTTAAGAAACTGCAATCAGAGCTGGCCAGATTCACTATTTCAGTTCAAGGATTTAGAAGGATGCTTGAGACGACAAACGTTGCGCAAGAGGAGAATTACCACTCAGACAGACTCTACTGAGAACACTTCCAGGGAAGTGGCAACATCCACCTTTCAGGACTGATAACTTTCCACCACGGGTGCTGCAGCCCTGGTCTCCAAGGATGCATGCCGGCTAAGCCCAGTTGCGGTACTGGAAAGTGGTGTGGATGTGCACCATCCTCCTCCCATCTCTGGAGGGAAGGTCCAGTGGGTAGGATGAAGGGAGTCACAGTAGACACTGATACTTGCCCCATGCCAGAGAGGCAGCAACCAGGTAATACAAAAAATGCCATAAAATGCACCTGTCTTGCAGTGTAGTGGCAGAAACTGCCATTAACTGCACTATAGGAGGCTGAATTAAGAATTGTCTCCCTTTAATGAATTTTTTTGTCACTACTTCAATTATAAACAAAAATGAAGGAGAACTGATATATTCTATGATTCCTGCTATGAAATACACTGTAGTCTGCATGCAATTAATACTACTGTTAGTGGTAACAGTGTAGAAGGAATAACTTTCGAAGAAATAAAATGTTCTTATTCTTGGTAAGCAGTATGTGGTTCCTCTCATGCTTCTCTGAAGAGATTAGCTGCAACATACCATAAAACCAGTTCTCCATTATGGCTTTTATCTGACTGCAACCATGACATGATTTTTTTTTCTTCAAAGGTATTAGTTGTGCGACTGCATAAAAACACACCAGTATTCATTGCAACATACACATCACATAGGAAAAGGGGAACTGTCACACACATGCCCTTGCTGCGGGCACACAGCTGTGGTCAGGACTGCTTTGTCAACTCCAAACCCACAGAAGCAGTTTCAGTTCTTACACTGCCCTTTATCCAGCTAGAGGGGGCCAAGTCAGCAACTCCTCCAACAACGCCATGACTATAACCCACTGAACTAGTTTCCATCCCTGAAATCAACTATGCCTTGGAGTCAACCCCCATCCCTTCCCTGTTAGCATTGAGTACCACCCTCTCACAGTGTCCTATCTGGACTGGATGTTTTTAGCTGGAATATCCTGGGCAAGATTTCTAGTTTGAGGTGCAGCCATTTCTTGTGCTTGGCTCCATAATGGTCTCAGAAACTGAACACTGCCTCTGCCATTCATAGGAAATGCACATTTACCTCAGACAAGGACATACAAATAGGAGGTGAATAGATTTGTATTGTTCAGGGCTTTATATATTAAATAAATATTTAATTATTCTTGTAGTGACTGAAGTCAGACAAATGGGAAAATACTTCTAAGGAGCAGTCTCTTGTAATTTTTTCCCTCTTCCCTTTCATTTTCCAGCATTCCCCTATTTCTCCACAACTCCTCTAAGCCCAAGGGCTGAAAGCCTGGCCCATCACTGAAACCAGTCAGCACATCCGCAGCTCTTGCACCCATTGTCTTCTGTGGTGTATTTCTAAACACATCTGACGGCTTTTTCAAATAAACATATCCTACCTTCAATTCACAGTCTTCATTTACTGCCAGGTTTCCAGGCTTTAGATCCTGTAATCAGATTTGAAATGGATGTTAGTTATTTATTTCATAGCAAGCACAATGAAACACTCT